ATTGTTAAATATTTAGATTGTATATTGGTACCTTGGTAGATTGCATGTTGTATCATTTGGCATCCTTATTGGTAATATTTGGCATCTTATTTGATATTATTGAGGAGAACATTTCAATTATGAGCTTTTGCCAAATGAAAACAAGGGGAAGAATTTGAACTAGACTACTTTTTTTTAAAAAAAAATTCCCTCAAATTCTATTCTATTTTTGATATCACACTTACGAGCTTGCACCTCACATATTATTTTTTTTAATTATCTTGTATAAAATCTATATACTCTTGCCAGAAATTGATTGTTAGTTCATGCTCAAATCGATTGTTAGATCATGCTCAACTGCTTCACATATACTTTTACAAATTTAGTATCTCCTTACTCTTGCTTGAAAATAGATTGAAATAGCATGAATTCTTCATAATGGATAAGCTCATTGATTCATTGTGCCATATTATCTTGCTACAACAGCATGTGTGTCTCATTCTTGACCTTTGGAACTTCTCCTTATTGCACCCATGGCATTTATCCAAACTTGATGATAATTGATATGAAAACATTTATATCAGTTGAATGTTCTCAAGTCCTTCATACATTTATTCTCTTTAACAGTTTGTTATTCTCAGCGGTGTAATTTTTTTGGATTCTACATTTTGAGGTAAAATTAACTTTGCATACATTGATTTTTTTAGACCCTCATGGTTTTTTTTTTATTTTTTTTTATTTTTTTTTTACGTTACCATTCCAGCAACACCAACGTCCCATTAAAATAATTTATGTTGATATTATTTTATTTTAATTTTTTTTTATCTGCTATTAGGCTTAATTTCTTCTATTTTTTATTTTTTTTCTCATATTATTTTTGTTTGGGCTTAATTTTCTTTTTTTTTTCTTTTTAATTTCATTTTTCAGTACTTAAACATAAAACAAAAAACAACTCAAAATACAAATATTTACATAAAAAAAAACACCCTTTATATTTTTACGGCCACACACTGATCAAAATAAACATAAAAAAAAAAAACCTTTCATTTTTTTTTCCGGCCATACGCCGATCTTACTTACTCGCCTCTTCCATCGTTTTCTTCTCTTTTTATCACCTTGGGCGACCCTTGACGCCCTTGCCCCGTGCTCTCGTCGAGAGCGATGACTCCTCGCTGACTATCAAAGGCCAAAGAACGACGATGCTCCAAATCAGGCCATGGAGGTATTTTTTCCATTTAAACTCTTGTTTTCAGCCTTCAGTGAGCCTATTTATACTCGCGCATCCTTGTACATACGTTGGAGCAGAGAGAGTTGGGTGTTAACCTGATGGAGCTCACTCGTCCTGTTCTATAATCGGTGAGCCAATTTTGTGACTGCAGTCATATCTCCATACAAGACGTCAATGTGAAATGATTGGCTTCAATGTCTGATTAACTGCCATTATTTCTCAATCGACATCATAGGAAGGTTGGGAAGAGTAGGAGCTGGGGTACTCAGCCCAGTAGAGCTTATGGGATCGTTCAGGCCGGAAACAGAGTGAGGGGATAGGATGGGGAAGCATGGTTTAGAGGTGAGGTGTAAAAGAAATGAGTTGCGAAGAAACAGAAGAGAGTAGTGAAGAAGAGATAAAAGAGAATGGTAAAGAAGAAAATGGAAGAGTGTGTGATTAAGAAGAAGGCAAAAGAGAAGAAGACAAGGAGGGAGAGGGAGTCGAGGCGAGTACAAATTGAGGCCTGCTTTTGTCAACCAATGACCGCAAAAGTGAGGTCCGGTGTCAAACGCGTTTATCGAAGGAAAAAGAGAGATGCGGGAAGTTGTATGTGTATGCATATATGTATATATATATATATATGTGAATTGTATAGATGCCATTTATCACTATAATTCTCCTCCTCCTCCTCCTCACAGATTCTGACCCCTGATTTCCTTTTGATAATGTTACAGGGGGAGAAATTATATGATGTTATGTATTATGGGAGCATGACTTGAGGGGGAGCCTTTCTTACTCAAAATCAAATCAAAACATCATTGGGAGCCATCATCAAAAAGGGGTAGATGTTAGACTTATTTATTTTAATGATTTATTTAATTATATTTTAATTTATTTGAAAAGAAAAAAGAATCCAAAATTTATTTTGATGATTTATTTAATTATGTTTTAATAGAATCCAAAAT